ACAAATGTTGGTGAGAATATGGAGAAACCGGAACCTTCAAACATTGTTAGTAGGAATGTAAAATGGTGCAGGTGCTGTGAAAACCAGCCTGGTTGTGGAAAATGGTCTGATGGTTTCTCAAAATATTAACCATAGAATTATCATATGGCTCAGCAATTTCACTCCTAGGTATATAACCAGGGAAACTGAAAACATGTTCACATAAATACTTCTACATGTATGTTCACAGCAGTATTATTCCTATTAGCCAAAAAGCAGGAACACAAATATCCATCAACTGATGAATGAAAAATATGATGTGGTATATCTACATATTATTTGGCAATAGAAAGGAATATTATTTGGCAATAGAAAGGAAAGCTACAACATGGATGAACCTAGAAAACATTATGGTAAGTGAAAAAAGCCAGACACAAAAGGCTTCATATTGTAGATTTCATTTATATCAAAGTCCAGAATAGGTAAATTTATAGAGATAGAAAGTACCTTATAGCACTGGTCCCCAACCTTTTTGGCACCAGGGACAATCTAATGCCTGATGATCTGAGGTGGAGCTGAGGTAGTGATGCTACCACTGGGGAGTGGCTGCAAATACAGATGAAACTTCGCTCCCTTGCCTGTTGCTTGCTTACCTCTTGCTGTGCAGCCAGGTTCCTAACAGGCCATGGACCAGTACCGATCCATGGCGCAGGAATTGGGGACCCCTGCCTTAGAGGTTGCCCAAGGATTTGGAGAGACTGCTACTAGGTTCAGGATTTCTTTGGGGACCGATGGAAATATTCTGGAATTAGATAGTGGTGATAGTTGCAAAACATTGTGAATATACTGAAAGTCACTGAACTGTATTTTATAATGGTGTATTTTACGTTATGTCAATTATATCTCAATTAAAACAAGGAAAAATAAACAAAAGATGATGGGGTATGTTAAGAATTACCATCAATATAGTTCTGCGCATCCTTAACCCTTCAAAAACTTTCAAGGCAAATAATGCGGAGGGCTTGAACAAAGACCAGTGGCTTGGGATACGGCCAGCCAGGATCACACTCAAGAGTAACTAACCAGATGCTGGTGGGAAAAGGAAGAGGAGGAAAAGTGTAAAAACACTTCCGGTCTTGGATGATGAGACAACTAAGAAGGTGAAGTCTTCACTGAGACAGAAAATAAAAATAAGAAACAGGTTTCCGAGGCTGAGAGAAAAATGGTAATTTAGTCATTGGACCAATTGAACATATAGTTTCAGAGGGGCCCTGGGCAGCCATCTAGGAGACAGAGAACACAGGTTTGGCGCTCAGGGGAGAGGCTGAGTTGCTCTGGGCTGGAAGGATGGCTTTGGGGAGCAGCAGAACGTGCACAATGGAGGAACCACCCAGTGTCTTGATGGTGAGAATCATGAGTGATCCCAATGGAAGCAGGGAGCTAAGGAGGAGGAAGGTTAGAGGAGAATCAGAAGAGAGTGGTCAGGGCCTTATGAAGAGAAGAATGCCAGGAAGGAAGCCACCAACAACGACCAATGTGGCCAGCTCAGAGTAGGGAAGTGCCCGCTAGATTTGGTGGGCAGTAGTCACTGGAAAATTTTGCCTGAGTGATTTCAGTTTAATGTACAAGAGTATAGAAAATTTTACCTAGGCTTAACTTAGGCCAATGTCAATGTACAAGCTTAATAAAACAAGTTATTTAAATAATAACAATAATTAATAATAGCAATAATAATCTAACAAGGAAAAGACTCTGATTTGCCAATGCACACAGATCCGGTCACTTGGCTTTATTCACACATTCTCTTAGCCAGTCTTCTTTTTTTCCTGAGAAAGCCTCTTTTATCTTGAATGGACTTGATAACATATGGAAGTGTGAGACTATTGTTCCTACCTGAGCCAGTCTCAATCAGCCTAAAATGTCTTTACCCTATTAAAATAATGTTCTCAGAGCTTTATATAAAAAGGGAAATGTCATGTCATGCTTCACAATTTAGGGGTAAAATATAAATATTGTTTTTACTAAAGGATATTAACTATGTAAAATGAGCATTAAAAAGAGGGTGAGAACATAGGCAAATGAGCAGTTGCTTCTGGGTAGTCTCTGAAGTATTTGTTTTTTTCCAGTTATATGTGTTTTTTGACACATTCAAATTTCCTACAAAGAGCATGCATTACTTTTAAGATCAGAAAAAATTGTAAAGCTGGAAAAAATGTTTTATTCAAACTCGAAACAGAAGATAAGCAGGGATAAAAATATTAATGCTAGACAAAGTGAATGCAAGGCAAGGGGGGAAAAGGTATATTTTGAAGATAAAGGGAGTATTACATAATGGTAACAACCACTGCTAATAATGAAGCCATGCAGATACAAATCTCTGTTGCCAAAGAAACTGACAACAAGATACAGAAATCAAGCATTATTAGGGACATAGTAAGGAACAGTCATTGTAAAGGTGTTAAAACACTATTATCAAAAAGACTTAAGAAGATAAACTCAGTCTCTCTAAGTACACAAAATTGATGTCAGGCAAGAATTCAATTTCATGATTACAGTGTAGGGGTCTATAGAACATTTGCAAAACTCAATAATACTAGTCACAAAGAAAATCTCAATAAAAAAAAATTTAAAATTTCTCCTCCCATTAAAGAGAAGATACTTCTGGCCTGAAGAAAATATAGGGCTAGAACCAAAGAAAAAAAAAGAGAGAAATGTCATTAATATAGTCCACTCTTGGTCCCCTAGGTGTTTGGGGGTGCAGGGAAGGATGAATGGGAATGAACTTTATGGTCAGATTGGACCAATACCTCTTCCTGCTTTTTCTCACCCACTCGACCTCTTCATTTTAACCTAAAGTGTGAACCATTAAAATGGTACTTAACTCAGTGGTTTTCAAAGTGTGCTACCTGCAGAATCAGCATCACCCAGGAGTTTTTGAGAAATGCAAATCCTCAGCCCTACCCCAGACTTTCTGAGGCTGAAATTTATCCAGGAGGTTCCCATGTAAAAGCATCTGATGCTAAAGGCCTATAAACATCCAGGATCCCTCATCCCTTGAGCAGGTTGACTCCTAGGGGTGGGTTTTACACTGGATCTCTGAGTCCCCATTGGGATGAAGCTCTCACTGCCCACAGAAGCAATCTGTATGACACTCCCTTTGGGGGATGCCTTTCCTTCCCAGGCCTATGTCCCCTGCTCCCCTTTCCACCTCCCAAATAAACTAATGCACTCGAATCTTTGTCTCAGGGTATTTCTGGGGTACCGAGTGCTAAGACCGCTACCAGAGACCCCTGCTCTCATGGAGCTTGAGTTTTGGTTGAGACTGGCTTGGCCTTTCAATCTTCTCTCTCTGGCTGGGCTCTGCGGACATTTCCTTGGGAGAGGGAACCCCACCGGCAGTGAGCCTTCACCCCAGTTCAGTGCAGCACTGACTGTTTACTCTCGCAGCACCTCTGGCCATTCTGCCAATAGCTCCTTACCCTTCCCCAGCCCTGCCCAACTTCATTGCTCCCTCCTTCCTGGGTGAGACCTACCAAAGGTCAACTACCAGCTAGACTCTGGGAGCAAAATCCTGCCCCGAACCTGTAGTGCAGAAGTGCGAACCACAGTGATATCATGTGCTACAGCTGGACATGGGGTGCAGAGGCAGCACAGAGCACGGCCTTCGGATGTCAGCAGTCTTCTCCATGGATATGACCCATATGGGAAACCTGGGGAATAAGTGAGACTTAGCCGGCATGTGTGGGGGTGGGACTGGGGGAGTGTGTAGCTGGGGCCCCCTGCAGGGTTCTGGAAGTACTGCTGAAGCAAGAGGTCTGCAGCCAGCACACGGAGAGGCGGCAGAGGGGGCGCTGTGAGCCAGTCAGGGAGACGACTTAGCGGGTTCGACCACAGAAAGAAGACTCTCAGTGTCAGTTTTAGAAGAATCTGTAGATAATGAAATGGCCAGAGGTAAAGGAGAAAACTAGGGATGTGAAAAATTCGGCAGATGAATTTTTCATCTGTCCTCAAAACCTGGAGGAGCAGCACTCTGAGTGGCCTTTTGCGGAGTCCAGGTGCACTCAAGTCCTTCTCTTCTGACTGTAATGCCGGCTCAGAAGGGGCAGGGGGACTTCAGCTCTTGGGTCAATGAAACGTGACAGGCTCATCCAGAGCTCCTGAAGATAGTCAGGTTTCAAACAGGACCTGTGGCCTGTCCTGCCTCCTCCTAGCCCCCTTTCGACCAGGAACGCACATAGGTTGATCCTTCTCACTCAGCATGCTGAGCAAGGGGTTCAGCCTGCCCCTTAATCTTTCAGCTGCTCAGAAGATAAGCCTGCTTGGCCTTAATCATGCACATGCGCTGGCTTTCTTTTCTGTCATCAGCTTGCAGGCGTTTCTCCTTGCCCCGAGCGCAGAGAATTTTGTAGGCGCTGAGCCAACACAAAGGCTCAATTAGCCAAACCACGTCCTCCAGCAGCTCGACACCAGGCTTTCATCTTCAAGGACCTCAAAGGGTTTTGGTCATTACTGTCTAATATTTGCTTGTTTTATAGGTTTTAATTGAGCCACCATTCCTAACAGAGCTAACCTCCAAAAGGCCTGGAAACACTGCTCATTTCCACCTAAGTCATTGTAGGCGTGGTAGCCTAGAGGCAGATTCTGCTATAAGAAGAGCAGTGTTCATCATAGGACAGAATTGCACTTTTTCTTTTGCCTCTCAGAAAAAGATGACAGAGATGGGGTTGGGGGTGGGAGGATGGAGGAATTAAGCCTTTCGATGTCACCTCTTTTAGGTAATAGAAAGAGGGAAAAACAGTCTAGATACAGAACCAGCAATTTATTCTTAAGTGCCCTAGAGGACTCGGAGACTAACAAGCTAGTGTTTGCCTAGATGTCTCCCATTCCCCAGATATGCTCCAGGAACAGGAGACAAAGACACTGGGCTTGCGTTGGAATGAAAGAGGCATTTCTCTCTTGCTGATATTGTGTGCTTGCATCTTCCTCCCCAAGAAAATCATGCAGGTCGGCCACCCCCATACCTTCATCACTGTTGTCATCCACCAGGATGATTTCCTTCAGCAGGTGTGTCGGCGTATGGTTGACAGCACTGTGGACCGACCGCAGGATCACCGACAGGGCCTCATTCACAAAGATAAATATGATGGATATCTGGGGCAGCTCCTTGGCATACTTCAGCTCCTTACACCTGGGGAAGAGAGAGGAGGAGAGTGGAGTCAGAGGAAGGAGGAAGGCACAGGACCGTGGCTGGACACAGTAAGGGTTTCGGCCCAATCCTCATACACGTCCTCCTAGGGCATGAATCAATTGGACCTTCTTGGCCTTTCTTGGTTAAGAACTGAGAATAAAACCTAAGGAGGAGAGCTTTAAGGGATCCAGTCTCCCAAATTTACCACCCTGTACAAATGGGAAGCATCAGTCTTAGGCACACATCTACTGTATCGCAGGCTGCTGCTATGCCCACACATATCTCCTGGCCACATGTCAGTGCCCACCTGCCTGACTGCCCATTCTGGGCACCTGCAGCTACCCTACCCCCATCGGCTCTCATCTGGAGACTGCTGGGGGTTGATGCATAAATGCCTGAGCTCCCTCAGCCCTTGAGCAGGTTGACACTGAGGGGTGGGTTTAACATTGGTTCCAAGTCCGCCTTGGGATAAAGCTTCCATCACGCACAGTACCAATCTGCATGACACCCCCTTTGGAAGATGCCCTCCCTTCCCTTCCCAACTCAACTCTCCACCTCCCAGATAAACGAATGCACTCAAATCTTTGTGTCAGTGTCTGCTTCTGGGGAAACCCAAGCTAAGACATCTACCAGAGACCCCTGCTCTCATGGAGCTTACATTCTAGAAGACATAAAACACACATGAAAATAATCATAGTCAAGGAAGCAGATACACTGCCTGTGTGGAAGTGTGCTGCCTGACACACCCCAGCTCTTCTTGCCAGTGTTCCTAGAATCTCTCCGGGGGCAGGAGATGGCACCTCCTGCCTAAGAAGTCCTCCCTCCTAAGACCCAGCAACTCCCCCATCCCCAAAGACAGGAATCCAAAGGGGAGAATCTCTTCATCTAGGCTGAACTCAGGGGCAGAGAGCTGCGATGCCTCCCACTTTGCAGGCCCCTGGTGATGTAAGAGATGGCCGAATACTCAGGGAACGTGCTCTGCATGGCTCAGTCATGGGGGCACCCACAATCTGTCCCCGGAGTACTGGGAATTTGGTTACATGCTTAGTCTGAGCCACATCAGAAATACCAAGTGGAAACAAAGTAGAATGGAATACGGAGCTCATGCTTTTCAGTACATCCTCCTTCTTGTGTGATTCTGCAAAATGTAGAACACAATGTGTGAGAGAGCAAAACAAAGGCTACGAGATGAAGGAGCGGACCGAGTGAAGCAGCAGTAAAGACGGAGCAAGAAATATGGCTGTTCTTTATGCTGAACAGCTTGGCCTGTGTCGGGCCATATTAATCATGCAGGCAATTTTTGGAGGAAAATAAAGTTTTGTTACAACATACATTTGTGTCTCCTGGAAGAGACTGTCCGGGGATCCATTGATCATGCAGCCTCATTTTTACCATGTCTCTGTAAATTCACTTCTGGGGCTGCCAGGGAGATTAGAATGGTTGCTGACAGCTCTGGGCAGTCAGCAGGGATCATCTCATTTACTGTGTGGTGATCCGAGGGAGGAGGGCAGCCCACAAGGTCCCTCAGAGCCCCCTCGACGGGGGGCTGGCAGCCATCGGAGCCTGGCGAGCCGGCAGCTGCTCCTTCTCAGCCCATTACTCACCAGCCCATGCACGTGAACACACACACCGTCCACACCCACTTCCTCTGAGCATTCATTCCTGGGGCTGGTTTCTTTGGTCTTTTGTTTTTTGACAGCTTTTGGCCCTTGAAATTAAGAAGAAAAAAGGCCAGATTGCGCTGTGCCAGCACTGTCTTCTCCACCCACAGGCAACAGGGTCATGCCGCAATCAAGACTGAGTTGAGTCAAGCCTCTTGGCCAGAGTAGACAATTCCCCTGGTGAAATGGGAAACATGGGAGCCTCAGGGGAACAGGGGGCTGATTCCCACTCCTTCATGGGTCAAGGTGGCTATTCAGTAAATGACAGGGGAATTCCAGAAGTGAGAAATGCTCTGCAACACATGGACATGTTACCCTGGGCACACTGCTCATGTTTCTTCATCTCCAAAACTGTCAGAATAATCCTCCCCATATCCAGCTCCAGGTGCTGGCTAAGGTCCTCATAAGGGTCAAGTGAGAGGCCTTTGAGAGCCCTGTGAAAATGCAGTGTAACGACTAATGAAAAGATTCGGTCTGCCCAGCTGGACCCTCCACCCTCCCTTCTGGCTCCATTCCCTTTTGTATATCCCCCATCACCATCAGCCAGGCTTCCAGAGTTTTCACTCAGCCCAGACTCTTCCTGCAGAACCCAGCCAGGACTCCTCCCTGACAGGGCCCAATTCCCTAACCTTGCCCAGCTTATAAAAATTCACCTCTCTATGCCTGACGTCCTCAGGGTTTCACAACAGGTAGATAATATGAGTATAGTCACTGCTATGAAAGTCAGAATTATTTTCGTTGGTCTTTAAACTCCAAGGAGGTAGACTCTGCCTTAAAAAAGGTTCTAACCTAGCTTGTTGCCTGATATGTAGAAGATGCTGGAGAGAGAGACAACTGAAGTTTTAAGCACCTTCTGTAAGGATTACGCACTGCCAGATACATATTTTACTTCCAATCAGACACCCAAAGCTCAACAGGGAAGAAGATAAGTGTGGGAAGGGAGATTAGGGTGGATGGGAAAAAAAAAGAGAGAGGCTCACAGGCCACAGAAACATTTAGAGACTGCACAGAGGAAGAGAACAGATGGGGCTCCTGCCCCAAGGAGTTGGTGCTGGAACAATTGTCACTGTAGCCTGATGATCCTCAGGACAGTATATCCAAACCACACATACTTGGGTATCCCATACTCTGCAGATTGAGACTGACATAACAGAAGCCCCACCCCTCATTCCTGAGTTCCTGCAGAGTTGAGGGGATATAAGGTGCTCAGTGCCTAGAGCTATAGTGGTGTGCATGGTGTTCTCTGGGTGGCCCCAGTGACAACCAGTGCCAAGCAGACTGGGCAGGCAGATCTGGGGAAGAGACCAGTCAGCTCAGCTTGGTTTTCAGCCCCATCTCTGCATAATGGAACATATAGTATCAGACATGGCCTGCCTCCCCAATGGCCTCCCAGGCTGCAAAATCCAGGTAAGAGCAGCCTGCGAGGTTGTGAAGATAACAGATCCCAGACTGAAAGACATTCAGGGAGAGAGGAGAAGATGGCACACAGAAAAACAGCAAAATACCTCAAGATCTATATAGCAGGTGTGTGGTATGTGCGATCTGTGTGTGCGTGTGTGCGCGTGCACGCGTGCCTCCTCTAGCAACACAGAAATCACAGCTTACTAGTCAGTAAGCAATAAACAACTTTTTGTCTGAAAGAAGATGGTTGGCAGAAAAGTTATCTTCAGGTCTGGATCAATGTCAGTCTCTGTGCTCCCGGCTGGCAGGGGCTACAAAGAAATTCAAGACCAGGCTCCTCTCCTCAAAGGGGCCACAGGGGAACAGATTCTTGGGAAGCTGTTCTCATAAAGGAAAGAAGGAGACAATCAACCAACCAAGTGAAGTCTCTTAGATGCTTTATACCTGCCCAGCTAACTGTCTGTCCAGATGCTTGAGATGCTTCCTTGAACTCGGGAACTCCCCGCTGGTGACACCATTGACTTCACTTAAGACCTGAAGTGCCTTACTTCACTGATGGTGAATGAGAAGAGGACAGGCAGGAGAACTGGCTGCCCCGCAGAACCCACCAGAGAGAATCACAGTTAACATGAAAGGTCAGGGACGGGGCCTCCAGCAAGGAAAAAATCAAAGCCCAAAGAGCTGGCCATGCCCTCTCGTAAGCAGACCCCTGCCCATGATCACCTTTTAAGGAAATGACTTATACGACCCCAATGTGAAACAGATAAAAGGTATCAAGACACACTGTGACCCAGTCTGCCGACCTGAAAACAAAAAGATGAACCCAAAGATTCCCATTGTTGTAAAAGAATTTAGATGCAATGTGGTCCAGGAGACCCGGGAGGTTACAGATAATGATGATGATAACAATAATGAAAACATAAACAGCAACCTACATGCCAGAAACTGCCAGAAGCTTCCATGTACTGCACTGTCTCAATTTGCACAGCAACTTTATGAGGTAGGCAGTGTTATCATCCCCATTTCACAGATGAGGGAATTGGGCACGGAGAAGTGAAATCACTTGCCTGAAGTCACACAGCAAGCCTGCAGCAAGACTGTCTGGATGTGAACTTCATTATCTGATGTTTAGACTCTCCCAAATGCCCCTGCCAGACCAAGGCAGGGTGTAGCAGTTGCAGTAGACAACCCTCCAGCCCAGCCTCTTCCTAGCTGGCGGACCTTAGGTAGGTTGTTTAGTCTATCTGAGCCTCAGCTTCCTTATCTCTCTGCCCTAAAAGGCCCAACCAGGAGACAGCCCTCCATGACCAGCTGAACCATGCCTATGGCCTGCTGGGCAGACAGAGTGCAGACTAGGAGAATTCCTTTCAAATCGAATGTAGATGAGCAAAAGTCAGTCCCTCACTCTCAGGAATAAAAAGGCTGGTGGGAACACAGCTCTTAGTGTTCTGGCTGTGAATCTGGGCAGGGTGGTACCCCCAGGGAGTTATCAGAAGCCCCTTAATAACTTTAGGACCCTAAGCAGAGGGAGGACATACTTGCCCTCAGTCACATCAGGGCATTGAAAAGATGCTGCTGCTAATAAGACTTTTTGGTCTTCCTGTACCCAAGCCTGACTGTCTGTCCCCAACATCCCTTGGGACAGGGTCACAAAGTCTCAGGACCTATAGGCAGGCACATCTGTGTGTGTGCTTTGGGTGGCCAGGTGGGCCCAGTTCAGGGCAGGTCCCCATAGGCCTGCACTTAGGCTCCAGTCTGTCCCTGGTCCCGTTCCTGGCCATCAGTCCCTCAGAGTCCATCTAAAGTGAGGGTTCCCCTTCCACGGCCTACCTGGCTTCTCCAGGTCACTCAGCTTACATGGCCCATCACTGTGAGACAATCTGAAGGGCATTCCTAGCTGTTCACCTGAGCTCTGGTTCCCCTCAGTGCATCTTGTAC